GCTACTCTGGAGGCTAAGACAGGAGGATCATTTGAGCCCAGGAGTTCAAGGCTGCAGTAAGCTATAATCGCTCCACTGCACTCCAGCCTGGCCAACAGAGAGAGACCCTGTCTCTAAATATATAAATACATAAATGCGTAAATAAATAAAACCAAATTCACTGTTTTACTTTAAATCTAGTTCCACTTTCTAATTCCTCTCCATTGTTAATCAATGGCAAAGACATTTCCCCAATCTCAATACTATGGTTCACTACTATCTTCCCTCTTGTCATCATAGCCTATATCCAAATACTTGAGTATCTCACATATGTGCACATTCCGCTCCATTCCCATCTCCCAAGTTAATACAAGCCTTCTACAACAAAATCATTTGCTTTCCCTGTCTTCCTTCAATTCACTCTGCTATAGCGATAAAAGCTGCTCCTAAACAGCATTTTTATGTCATTTATTCCCTTGTTCAAGAACTGCCTAGGGCAACTTACTATTACTCTCCTCAAATTCTTCTTCAAATAAGTCAGGTTAAGAAAGAAAAAACTGTACACTTTAAAGGATAAGTTCAATTATATCTCAATAAAGCTGTCATGAAGGAAGGAAAGGAGACAGGAAGAAAGGAAAGAGGGGACAAAAGGGGATGAGAGGATAGGGGAAACTCCCTAAATGGTTCTCCACAAAGTACTACTTTATTCCATACCAATTCAGGCATTCTGAAGAGTTAAATGACTTGGAGCACCCACAAAACTGTCAGAAAGTAAACTGACCTCCAAGTGACCAATTTTGGTGATAGTGAAGCATTACTTTGTGAAACTGACTCTCCCATCAAGTGCATATAACTTTTTTAGAAACACATTCCTCCATGGAGCCAAAATCTAAAACTAAAATCTAATATTTGTACTCATTTTTCCAGTGTTGGCTCTCCAAAAACAATACCAAGAAAGAAAAAAGGAAAAACCCCTTTCCCCATGGCTGCCCATCAAATACAGAGTATAACTAAAGTGTCACAAGTCTTCTCTTCTTTCGTTCCTTCAACCACTTCTCATAAAGCATGGTTTCTAGACAAGGGCCGGAAGGAGGGGTACCTGAGACCCCGGGAGACTCCACGGGAGGAGGCTGCGGAGGAAAACTGGAAGCTGAGACCACCGGAGCAGCCCGTGACCAGCGGCAAGGATAGGTGGATTTGCTGTTTCCCCTCCCTTGCATTTGGGACTGCTGGTGGGCTCCCCAGCGGGTGGAAAGACCTCTGGACACCAGCCCAGAGACGGCCGCTGCCAGCTAGCGGTGAGCCTGTAGTAGACGCAGCACCAGACTCCCAAATCCCTCTGGCACCTCCGTGTGCACAGACCCGAGCCTCGCGGCAGGCGCCACATTGCCTCCTCCTCCCCTCCGCCAACCCTACCCACAGTGCCCAGAGAGACAATACAGCACCAGCCGGAGCACCTCCAGGGAATGGGACCTTCCCTTTTGGGACCCTACAGCTGACTAAGGGAAGCAGACTGTGAGCTCCAACCCGCCAGCCCTCCCAGGTGCTGCTGGCAGGGTGTTCCCAGGAGAACGGTGCCGACTCAGAGGCTGAGAGACACAGACACAGCTTGGGCTCCCTGTGGGTGAATTGGGACCGGAACTCCTCTCCCTGGTGGGGATACAGTTTGAACTCTGGGACCCAGAGGTCGGACCTGCAGACCAGATCCCGTGCACCGAGGTCTAGCATTGCCTGGGGCACAGAAGGGATATTTGTGAACAGCCTGCTGAGGTATGTGTGCCTCCAGGGGCAGATCAGCATCCTAGAGGGCAACCCTCCCCCCAAAGGGAGGCCATGAGCCCAGCCCAGGTGGTGTCCCTGCGCAGGGAACCTCCCCGCCGGAATCACAATCCGGAGAGGCCTGGTGGCGTGTGGTCTGGCCTGCTGGCAGAGGCCCAGGAGTAGCTGCGGAGTTGGGGAGGGTGGAAAGAAGCGAGGCCGCTCCAGACTGCGGGTCTCAGACAGCCACACCCTCACACACAGACATTCTGGCTGAGCAGGACCATACCAGCCCCGCCCTGACAGCTTTTCCTGGAAGCAGAGAACAGAACTTTGACCCCTGCTAACGACATTGGTGGTACCTGAGGACAGGCTTACCCAACCCAGCTCCACACAGAACAAGAGCTGATAACAGGACACAAAAACAATAGCATAGCCTGTTCCTCCAAGCAAGCGCCACCTACTGACAGGGACGGCATCCTGCACAGCCTTTTCACCGCACCCACTGACTCATTATACAGGCAGTGGTCTAATCTCACCCACAGACAACACCTAACGGCTCAGAAACTAAACAAGGCGTGTGAACACCCAAACAAAAACCCCTAAAGAAAGAAACAATAACTGATCGACATGGGAAGATCACGCGAAGACTCCTGAAATATGAAGAACCAAACGGAAACACACCCCCAAAGAGGAGACCAAGCCCCTAGAACAGACACCAAGCCAAATCAGCAACCAAAATGACAGAAGAGAATTTCGAATGTGATCATAAGAAAAGTCAACACCTGCAAGAACAACTCAATAACCAACACAAAGAGACCACAAAAAACTCCAGGACTCATGGAGACAAAGTTCACTAAAGAAATCGACACAATGAACAAAAGTTTAACCAAACTCCTGGAAATGGATGACAATTACAGGGAACTACAGAATCAGTGAAAGTATCAAGAGCAGGTAGATGCGAAACAGAAGAAGAAATCTCAGAGTTGAATAACAACCCTCCAACTAAATAAATCACGTCACACAAAGAGCAGAGAAACAAGAGAAAAGAGCAAAGCTCACAAGAGATGTGGGATTATATGAGAAACTCATGTGGAGGTCATAGGGTTACCAAAGGGGAAGAGGAAACACCCAAGGTTGGACAGCTATTTGAAGATATAATAGAGGAAAATTTCCCAGGCCTTGCTCAAATCTCGATATACAAGTTCAAGAAGGCTCAGAGGACCCCTGGGAGATTCAATGCAAACAGGAAGATGTCACCGACATGCAGTCATCAGACTGACCAAAATATCAACTAAAGAGGCCCTTCTTAGAGCTGTAAGACGCAAGAAGCAAGTGACATACAAGGGAAAGTCAATTCGAATAACACCAGACTTCTCTAATGAGACTTACAAGCAAGAGAGACTGGCCCCATTCTCACTCTCTGAAACAAACAAATGCCACCCTACGATCTTATTCCTGCAAAACTAAGCTTCATATATGAAGAAGAAATAAAGACATTCTCAGACAAGCAAAGTCTCAGAGAATTCACCAAGACAAGACCAGCCCTACAAGAACTACGCAAAACAGTGTTACGCACAGAACACATAATAAAAAGCTCACGAATATAAAAACAACCAAAACCCAAAGATTAAAGGCCAGATAATACAATGGCTCAAGAGAGAAATCAAAGCAACAACATCCAACCCAACAGAATGAACAGTAATGTACCTTACCTATCTGTTCTCTCAATAAATGTGAATGGCTTAAACTCTCCACTCAAGAGACATAGGCTGGCTGAATGGATAAGAAAATACAGGCCAAGTATATGCTGTCTTCAGGAAACACATCTAACCTGCAAGGATGCATACAGACTAAAAGTGAAAGGGTGGAGATCAGTATTCCAGGCAAGTGGACGCCAAAAGAAGGCTGGCGTGGCAGTTCTAATTTCAGACGATTTCGTTTTTAAACCAACAAAATTAGTGAAAGACAAAGAGGGTCATTATATAATGGTGAAGGGCATACTTCAACAAGAAGAGATAACAATTTTAAATATATATGCACCCAAGTTAGGTGCACCCAGTCTCATAAAGCAAACCTTACTGGTCTAAGCAAATGGATTAATAGCAACTCCATAATCACTGGAGATTTCAACACCCCACTGACGGCACAAGACAGATCCTCCAAACAGAAAATTAATAAAGAAATAATGGACTTAAACAAAACCTTGGAACAACTGGGTCTGACTGACATCTACAGGACATTCTATTCAAAATCCACTGAATATATGTTCTTCTCATCAGCTCTCGGGACATTCTCTAAGATTGACCATATCCTAGGACACAAAGTAAATCTCAAGAATTTAAAAAATAGAAATCATACCATGTACCTTCTCAGATCACAGTGGAATAAAAGTAGAAATCAACCCTAACAGAAACTCACATTTCTACACAAAAACATGGAAATTAAACAACGTCCTACCAAATGATACTTCATAAATGAAGAAATCAAGATGGAATAAAACATTCTATACTCCTACACTGCTGGTGGACTTCAAATTAGTTCAACCTCTGTGGAAAGCAATATGGAGGTACCTTAAAGCGATACAAGTGAATCTACCATTTGATCAGCAATCCCATTGCTGGGCCTCTACCCAAAAGATCCAATGACACTCTACAAAAAAAGACACTGCACTCAAATGTTTATAGCACACAATTCATAATTGCAAGGCTGTGGAAACAGCCCAAGTGCCTATCAATCCAAGAATGGATTAATAAAATGTGGTATATGTATACCATGGAGTACTATTCAGCTCTAAGAAACAATGGTGATATAGCAATCTTATATTTTCCTGGTTAGAGCTGGAACCCATACTATTAAGTGAAGTTTCAAGAATAGAAAAACAGCACCACATATATTCACCAGCAAATGGTATTAACTGAACAGCACCTAAGTTCACATAGGTACTGCAGTAATAGGGTATTGGCAGAGGGGATGGGCGGTATATACATATATAATAAGTGAGATGTGCAACATCTGGGGATGGTCATGCTGGAGACTTCAGACCTTGTGGGGGAGGGGGGAAATGGGCATTTATTGAAACCTTAAAATCTGTACCCCCATAATATGCTGAAATAAAATAAATAAAAATAAATTTAAAAAAAGAAAAAAGAAAAAGGAAGATAAATGAAGAACGGAAAAATCTAAGGGGGGGGGGAAGAATGGCTCACTTTATTTATGTCATGAATTCAGCCAAAAAAGGTAAACATACATATAAAACTAACCTGGTTTTCCTCCTGCACAACTCTATACTGTTCCTTCCAAATGGTAATTTTGGAAGCTTCATCTTTCCTCAGTGCTCGTTCTTTCTTTAGCTCTGGGCTCCAGAAGGTCTTGATGCTATTCATTGAAGAACTCAGTTTGCTCTCCTTTACTTCCACATCCTTCCGCAGGAGATCATTCTCCCTTAAGACTTCCTTTAGCTGTGTCTGCAGATCCATGATTGTGTTATCTCTTGCCTGACGAAGAGAGTGAGGTACAGTGGATGCCATACTCACGGGAGGGAGGTGATGCTCTCCAAATGCTATGGTGTCACTAGCAACCCCACTACTAGCTATATTGGGGCTACTGCCCATAGCAGTCATCCTAACACCATAAGGCAGACGTCCCCCAGAACGGCCAAGTGTCATGGTGCTTTTAGGTGTTTCTGAACCCACATTTTCATGGTCACTTAGGTACATAGGGCCAGATGTGGCATAGGCAGCATTTAGGGATTGTATATTCTCCATTGAAAGGGTTTTCCCACCGCTACCTCCAGCACTGCTTCCAGAACTCCCTCCTGTACTATTGGTTCGACGATGACCCAAGCGAGGGGAACGTGGAAGCCTAGGTGAACGCCCAGGGCTCTGGTTGCTCGGTTCTACCTTCCCAACGGAGCGAGCACTTCCATACATGGTTGCAAGGTGAACTTAGGTGCCAAAAAAGATGTAAAGCAGAAAATAAAAGATGGAACTTTGGGAGGTTTCTCTATGGCTATAAGTCAGCTTCAGGTCAATCAGAAATAACAGGTTGCTGCTGTTCAATCTTGAAGAAATACGTTACACCAAATCTGTAATAAAAAGACCACACGTTAAATCCTCCAGTAATAAATATTTTCCTTCTCAGAAACTTTCCATTACCTCTAACTTGAGGAATATTTGCTCCTTCTATCATCTATTTATTCATTCATTCAAAATGTTATTACAGCATAATGTATTTCATAGTACACACCATTTTAAAGATATTTTGCATAACTCAAAACTGAATGCTGAAAACATACCATGAACTAGAAAAGAAAGAAAAAAGAGGTATAAAGACTAACAAAGAAGAGATAAAACTCAGTGTTTGAATAATGTGATTTTCTAACTGAAAACCTAAGATTATCAACTGACAAGTTATTAGAACTAATAATAAAACTCAACAAATTGGACAGACACAAGACCAATACATAAATATCAATACTTTCATGTGCTGTACATCAATAGTAACAATTAGAAAATGCAGTTAATTTAAAAAAATTTAAATTCCATTCACCATGAACAACAAAACCATTAAAGCACTTTGATATGAACTAACAAAAAAGTGCAAGCATTTTTAGAAAAAAAACTATAAAACATTACTGAAAGACATGAAAGAACACCTGAACAAAAGAAAAGTTATCCATGTTCATGGATGAGAAGACACTTTAAAAAGTGTCAGTTCTTCCCCAACTACTTAGCACAATCCCAGTGAAAATCTCTACAGGATTTTTCACATAACTCAACAAGCTAACTCTAAAATTCAAATGGAAGAGTAAAGGTACAAGAATAACCAACAATTTCAAATAGATGAACAAAGAAGGAAGACATTCCCAACTGGCAAGATAAATTACAGATCCATAATCCTCTATTTGTACCACAAAAATCCAAAAAACTCTGAAAGTAAGTTTTTTCTTTTTAACTCATTTAACAGCAAAACCTGACCTGATCTGATATGAAGTTACTTATTGTTTATATGTATCCCCACTTAATGTGACTATTCACGTATTTCATCAAGAAAATAATGTGTGGCCAGGGCTTGGTGGCTCACGCCTATAATCCTAGCACTCTGGGAGGCTGAGGCAGGCGGATCGTTCAAGGGCAGGAGTTCAAAAGCAGCCTGACCAAGAGTGAGACCCTATCTCTACTATAAATAGAAAGAAATTAATTGGCCAACTAGTATACATATAGAAAGAATTAGCCAGGCATGGTGGTGCATGCCTGTAGTCCCAGCTACTCTGGAGGCTGAGGCAGGAGGACTGCTTGAAGCCCAGGAGTTTGAGGTTGCTGTGAGCTGGGCTGACACCACGGCACTCTACCTGGGCAACAGAGTGAAACTCTGTCTCAAAAAAAAAACAAGAAAAGAAAATAATGTGTGCATAATGCCCACTGGGGATAACTGGAAAAAACTCTGGACAACAAAGCCACATCTGACCCATAAAGAACCGTAGCCTTGTAAAGCTATGTTAACTAAAACTGCATAGTATTAGTCTAAGAATAGAGTCTAAATTATATATGGGAATTTAATATATGCTAAAAGTAACATTTTGAAACAGTGAGGAAATGACAAACCACTCAATAAATGGGGGTTTGAATAACTGATGTTCTAAGAAAAAATTATACTCCTACTTCACACTGAAATAAACTCTATGTACATTAAAGATATTAATTTTTTTTTTTTTTGAGACAGAGTCTAGCTTTGTTGTCCAGGCTAGAGTGAGTGCCCTGGCGTCAGCCTAGCTCACAGTAACCTCAGGCTCAAGCAATCCTTCTGCCTCAGCCTCCCGAGCAGCTGGGACTACAGGCTTGTGCCACCATGTCAGGCTAATTTTTTCTATATATATTTTTAGTTGGTCAATTAATTTCTTCCTATGTTTAGTAGAGACGGGGTCTCGCTCAGGCTGGTTTCGAACTCCTGACCTCAAGCAATCCGCCCGCCTCAGCCTCCCTGAGTGCTAGGATTACAGGCGTGAGCCACCACACCCAGCCTAATTTTTAAATTATTAAAAGGATTAGAAGAAAATTTAGAAGAACACTCTTGTGAACAATAGTTAGGGTAAGTCTTCTTAAATAAGAAACAGAAAGCAAAAATCATAGAGAAAAACAACTAACACTGAATTACATCAAAATAATACAGTATTATACCAAAAATAGTCATAAACAATAAAAAGATAAACCAAAAACTAGGTGAAAAATATATTCAACATATGTATAAAGATCTATAAACAGAATATATAAAGAATTCCTACATGAGAAATGTCAAATTTGAAACAGCAATGGTTAGAAGGAAGGAAACTTGTGTTGTAAGAGGAAATGAGGGGAAAAATGTCTGTCTGTGGAGGCTTTAGCTTCACTTACAAAGCTTTATACTCAAACTACCATAAAGCTTGAATTTTTTACAAAAGAAAACACATTTAGACTCTACAAGTATAATTAAAACAAATTTTAAAAATACAAGTGGTTGTCCCTCAGTACCCACAGAAGACTGGTTCCAGGACCCCTGTGGATACCAACACCCTTCAATGCTCAAGTCCTTTACATAAAATGGCATAGTATTCGCATGTAACATACGTACATCCTTCAGTACACTTCAAATCGTCTCTAGATTACTTCTAATACCCAATACAAGGTAAATGCTATGTAAACAGTTGTTATACTGTATTGTTTTTAAATTTCTATTATTTTTTGCTGTATTGCTATTTTTTCTTGTTTTTCCCCCTGAATATTCTCAATTCACAATTGGTTGGATCTGCAGATGCAGAACTCACAGATTTGGAGGACGGACTGTACTATGCCTAACTACTTTCCACACTTATCGCAAATATAAACCAATATAGGTCTAGAATAGATCTCTGTGATTTCCTGACATTCTTTCAAAGAACTGGCTCAGGTCAAGTAACAATATGCTTCAATATATTAAATAATATTTTCCCAAAATCCTGTTACATAGAATTGATTCTTGTGTTTCTTCATCAAAAATGGTCTCCAAGAAAATCACACGGTCAAAAATAAGATTTTAAAGACACTATATATTCTGGTCAAATGCAAACAGGTTAAAAATCCTCAAAAATGTGAACATAGGCAGTCTCTTCTGTACATTAGTGAGCCAGTAAAGACATCCCTGGGCTAACCACAAACAGGACAGGAAATACACAGAACCTAAACCTTTAAGGAAAGACTCCAATTCTCCCTCCATCTCAAAAATAGAAATGGTACACGAAGCTCAGAAATTATAATATTTTGCTAGCAATATTAGGAAATTTCTTTCCAAGATTAACCTAGTCCATGAAGCAAAAATTCCTTTTCAAGATTAATTTAGATTGTAAGGTAGGTGACAAGTGGTAATCTACAAATTACTATGTAAGATAAATTCTATTTCAAGATCAAAAAAGGATACAAAGTGTTTTTGTTTTTTAAGTAATCTGAATAGTACTTAAAATAAGTGATTCATTCATTACCTGGAATTCTTTGAATGATAACAAAAGCTAACATTTAGCGAGTGTGTGTTTACCATATACCAAGCATTGCACTATGAGCTTTATAAGATTTAACATTCACTTATAGTTTAATATTTTATGTTAATAAGTAGCACAGTGACTGTCATTATTATTTCCATTTTACAGATGAAGAAAGTTGAAGCTTATAGGGGTTGAGGGACTTATCTAAAGCCACACAATGATAGGATCAACATTTGAATGAAAGCAGCCTAATTCCAGATCCTGGAGGCTCTTCATTACCATGCTTAACCACCATCATCTGCCAATGTTATAAAAGATGTCCATAAGATATTAAAGGTTTTCACAATTTTCAGGCAATGTGTCTGATTAATCTAGTACTCTAAACCTAAACTTTAGGTTACATCATGGGTTTTCCTGGGTGTAAAACTTAAAATAATCACATTTATCTTTCTATTAAGTACCGTGTTTCCCCGAAAATAAGACCTACCCATAAAATAAGCCCTAGCAGGATTTCTAAGCATTGGCACAATAGAAGCCTTACCCCGAAAATAAGACCTAGTGATGGGCGTGGCTACGCAGAGATAAAGAAGGCGAGCAGCCCTTCTCATCTGCCCCATCGTGACAGCTACTATCCCAGAGGTGACCAGAAAGGTGCGGGCAGCCCCTCAACGAGGTCAGCTCCCCCTGCCAGGTCCCGGCCATCCTGTGCGTGCTGCACGCTGAGGCTGAGGGGAAAGTCTCCTCAGTGAAGTGAGGAGGGGGACGCTCCACCTTAGGTATCGTGTGTCCCCAGGGGGAAGAAGGAAAGCTGTGGCTGCCATTTTACTATGATGATGTTCCAGAAGAAGACTTAACTATATTTGAATAAATGTAAATTGTTGTACCGTACTTAAAAAAAAAAATGACACATCCCCTGAAAATAAGCCCTAGGGTGTCTTCTTGAGGAAAAATAAATGTAAGACACTGTCTTATTTTCAGGGAAACACAGTAGGAGAAAGCCTTTTTTAAAGGCTGGTAAACAAAAGAACAAAATAAGTAAAATGACAAAATAAAAAGTAATAATTCAGAAATTAAGAGTCTCAGGAATCATGCCATCAGAACTTTAAACTGCCACTTCAAAAGAAAAAATTCCGAACAGTACTTTTTGGCAAAACTCTATTTTCATGTAGTGAAGTAAGTAAATCACACTGAATAGGCTAAGACCCAAGAAGAAGAATTCACATCAAGTTTTCAACACTAGCAGGTACACTGTCAAGTCACTTTCAAATCCAAAACAGCATTTGCAACCAGAGACTTTGTTATTTTCAAAACCATATTCACTTATATGACAAGCAAAGGAATTTACTAGCTCTGTCAAAAGCCCTCATATTGGCTTTTTAATCTTATGAGTTTCAGGGAAAAGTGTTTTTAAAACATAAATTTCTTTTTTTCTTTTTTTTTGAGACACAGTCTTACTCTGTTGCCCAGGCTAGAGTGAGTGCTGTGGCATCAGCCTAGCTCACAGCAACCTCAAACTCCTGGGCTCAAGCAATCCTGCTGCCTCAGCCTCCCGAGTAGCTGGGGCACAGCATGCACCATGCCTGCTAAATTCTTTC